CACGCTTTTGCACTCTTTCCAGTTCGTCATGCAGACAGATAGCGGGGTATCGCGTAATTCCACACCTCACAGCAATATTCCAAAATAGAACGAACAAGCGCGAAATATATGTTGGTAAGATCAGCAGGAGGGACACCACCGCGGCATAATACCCGAAGACCGTATAACCGTTTGGAAGCCTTGGTGACGATTGATCGAATTTTCTCGTCCTCGTTTCAACCGCAGAAAGGCGTTGTAGTCACAGTGGCGTAACGGAAGAAGAGAGGCCCTTAGACATATTTGGTGTGGGGGCCCCTGTTGACTGTCATTGTTTGACTGAGTCTGAGATCTTATATTTATATTGAATATTTATAGAATGTTCTGAAAAATTATGTGTCTATATAACAATGGCAATAGCAGTCTTCAATATAATAACAACTTTTAAGAAAACTTTTGTTCTATTTGAGATGGAATAAAAAAATCAGCTACCGTCGTCGACGGAGGCTTTATTATTTAGCATTATTAATTTTGTATTTTCCCATTGATTCTTAACCTGCATTTTTTACATTTTCTAATTTTCTGGGCGATAGGCCGTGGATGATGGGGGCCCCTAACTGTCGGGGGCCCTTAGTTTTTGAACTAACCCTACCTAATGAGCGTTACGCCACCGTGTAGTCATCGTGAAAAGCAGCTTGCGAGAATCAAGGAATTCGGCTTCTAGCAGTGGTGACCAAAACCTTCGTTGGCAAAGGTTCTCAAATTCGTTGGCAAATCTCCATTTCAGTTAGCATGTGCCGGCATGGTTTTATGTTTCATGAAAGAAAGCTGTGGATTGATAGGGATAAAAATACAAGGAGAACTTCGACGTTTCGAGCGAAGGCCCTTGGTCGGGAAGTTTTATATTGCATTCCTAACTTGTATCGTTTCATAAACATTTGCATTTAGCTATACTGAGCCTACTGCAATACTATTTATTACGGTAATGCTTTATTGTAGAAGACAATTCAAGGACGAATGCTTGGCGCAATAATTTATCAAAACAACAATCCGTGCATGGGAAATATATATTCTCTTGAGAATCTGAAAAGTTGCTGTATTTTCCAGGTGCTAAAGTATCTCTGGCGCTAGTACGTAAAATTATATACCTCATGTTTTGCTACATTTGATTTCGTAGTTTTATATTCCCCACTTGTGCCTATATAAAGTGGGATAAATTATAACTGGGTTTATATTAGTTTATATTTATATGACTGTAGCTACATGTTTTTGTCTGAAATCACCGAGTCAAGACAAATCCAAGAGTTACAAGATAAGGCGAAATATAAACAGTAAAACATTTATCAACATTGAGGTTATAAACATTGACATTTGTTAAGTATAATATTGAGGTTATACATAGAACTTTATTAGATCGTGGGGCAATGAATAGTTGTATTTCTTTAACTTTTTATTAAACCATGATTAAACTTAAAAATGTTTTACTGGTGGACAGGTCCTTATAATGCATTCTTTATATATACAGAAAATTATAAACACTTTATTATTTACATTCGTTACTATAGATTAGTCGCTTCACGTTTTTTCCCTTTTGTCCAATCACGGGCTTTAGGACCAATTCAATTTGACAACAATAGTATTCTATCTAAATAGCATTTAAAATGAAGTGCACGGCACCTGAACTGTTCAATATCTTGCTTGGTAGTGTGCTTCTAAATCCATAAAACATTTACATATTATACAAATACTGTATATTTCAAAATCCGCCATATTTATTTACATTAGAACCCAAGCTTTCGCGGTTCACACGAAATATCACGTCGGTGATTTTCGCTAATAATAAGAGGGTGGATCAAAGTGGGCGTTGTCACTTGCTAACCCAATCAGCTGTCTGGGTTCTGTACCACGTGACCTGTCAAACCGTTCCGAGCGGGAGGAATCTTATGACATAACAGCCTCGATAAAATATTTTGGGGACACGTTTGTGCCATATATGGAAGCATGGTTTCCTCTCGCTTCGAACGATGAAATAATTGGATGATCCTACCCTCTTATTCTTAGTGAAAATCACCGACGTAATATTTCGTGTGAGCCGCGAAAGCTTGGGTTCTAATGTGAATAGATATGGCAGATTTGAAAATATACAGTATTTGCATAATATGTAAATGTATTTATGGTTTAGGATCACTGTCAAGCAAGATGATGAAGAAACGGATTCGGAAATAATAATATAGAGGCCGTTCGGGCCCCATTTTTGCGGCGGTGGTGGTGGTGGTGGTGTGTGGTGGTGGTGGTGGTGGTGTGTGGTGGCGGCGTGGGGCGGCGTGGGGCGGCGCATCATTATATATGCAAGTAATTACTCTGCAAGGGGCGGCGTATGCAAGTAATTAAGAGGGGCCGCACAAATGAGGGTGCGTAGTGACGTCACGCGGGCAGGATCAGGCAAGTAATGACGTCACGCGGGCCTGTTCGGGCGAAACTTGCTGACTACGCATTTTTTAGCGTCTCTCCACGTGTGTGGTACAATGGAGGGATTAATGTTGGCTTACTATGATTGGTTGATTGATTTAACGAGCGTCTGTATAAAATCGACAAGCGTCTTGTAACAAGCATAGTTTTGCATTAGTTCCACATCAGTCATGGAGTGTCTACACGGAAAAGCTGCTGCCTCTACAACTACAAACAATGGTACATTTTGATTTTGTGGGGAAAACCAAGCTGTGAGTTCTTTTGCCCAAACGAAAATTGTTATATGTTTACGAGAGCTGTAGCTGCGTTTCGTGCAAGTGGTTCTATACATCCCGTATGTCCTACACATCAGAAATTTGCCAAGTTATGTGTGGTCAAAGACACAATGAAAGATAATTACGGACGACCCTTCTTCGTATGTTCTGAGCGAAGGAATTCCTGCAAGTTCTGGCAATGGGGAGACGTGTTCAAAGGTCCAAGACCGTTATGTCAACATGGAATGGTGTGCTGTGAACGAAAAGTCAAGAAAGATGGTCCGAATCAAAACCGTCTGTTTTACTGCTGTCCGAAGGACGACTCTTGTGGTTTCTTCGAATGGAAGCAACAAGGCCCTCGGGTGACCAACACTGGCATCGTGCTCTTCAGTAATCCACTACAATACCAGTACATGATTGAAGAAACAGTAGAGACATTTAATAGTTCTAAATCTAACACTAAGGAGGCCTATGATGAATTTCGTAGATTTGGTTTAACAAGTGAACTTGATAAAATAGACCTCTTGTAATAATAATACGTTGCTAGTTAATTAATGTAAATTTGCATATATTTACTGAAATAAATACTGTGTGTCTCATTTGTTGTTCAATCGTTATGGTGAGAGTATCATGGATAACATAGATATAATTTTTGATGAGTTGAAACGAAATGAAATTGATATTGATAAGCAAACTTTATCGTTTCATATAAATACAATTCTCGACCGCCATCGAGATCTATATCGTGCAGTAAATGTTCGTGATCTAAACCTTGACCAAATCTACAGAGAGATCAAGGTAACAAACTTTGGTTGTATCATTGCCTATTTAGCTTTGGTATGTGTACAAAATGATAGCGAAGAATCTATTCGTCACAATGTACAAAAAACCATCGAGGCATGTCGAATTTTTACTATTCCCAAACATAAACGAAGTAAACGTCCAATTTTAATAACACTCTCACTCACACTGATAGCTTTATATATCAGTCTATAATTACTGGATGTTTCATTTTGTTCAAACCTCTGAAGAGTAAGGATGCCTTGCTGTAAAGGTTTACCACAAATCTCTCTTCGAAACATTTTTCGAAAAGTACGCTGTATTTCTGCTTGCTGTGGTGGAAAAATTGTAATTCAAGCCTCAGACATCGATGTCGGAGAAATATCTAAGCCAGATCTATTACGATCCAGAAAGCCCCGCAAGTTTTGGTGGCGTAGATTCCGTTTATCGCGCCGTGAAAAACGAAGGGAAATATGAGATATCGCGGAATAAAATACGCCAATGGTTACAAAAGCAAGATGCCTATTCATTGCATAAACCTGTCAGATATCGCTTCAGGCGTAACCGTGGTATAGTTGGAGCCATGGATGATGAGTGGGAGGCAGACTTAGTCATTATGGATTCATTAAGTCAACAGAATAATGGGTACAAGTACGTTTTAACTGTTATTGATGTACTCAACAAATATGCATAGGTTGAAGCGATAAAAGCAAAAACTGGGAACAATCTTGTCAAAGCCTTTGAGAAAATAATCAAGAAATGTTTCACACTGATAAGGGGACGGAGTTTATCAATAGACAGTTTCAAACCTTTTTGAAGAAACATGGCATTCGATTTTTTACGACGTACAACGAAACCAAGGCATCGATTGTTGAAAGGTTTAATCGTACGCTCAAGACGAAAATGTGGAAATACTTTACAGCGAACAATACGCTCAAGTACGTGGACATTCTCCAGAAACTGGTCAAATCTTATAATCATTCTCGACATCGTAGTATTGGTATGAGACCGGTAGATGTGAATAAAAGTAACGAGAATATTGTGTGGCAAACACTCTACGGGAAGGAGTCGAAAAAATCAATCCAGTTTAAGTTTAACATTGGGGACCAAGTCCGGATTAGCAAAGCAAAGCGAACATTTAAGAAAGGATACTTGCCCAATTGGACTGAAGAAGTGTTCACGGTAACGAAACGCGTGCCTCGACGACCGCCTGTTTACAAGATTGGAGATTATGACGGTGAAGAACTGGAAGGAACATTTTACGAGCAGGAACTTCAGAAAGTCAACAAATCAGACAGTGACTATTATAGAGTAGAAAAAGTAATAAGATCACGCATGCGTAATAAACGTAAAGAGTATTATGTAAAATGGTTGGGTTACCCTGACAAGTTTAATTCTTGGGTACCAGCAGAGAGTGTAAAAGATCTGAAATAAATATATTTGAAACTCATAACTTGTATTCATTTGTGTGTTGGTCTTCAACATGGCAACACAGTTTTATCTCACGT